ATTAATATTAAGCCTCCTGCAAAACACAAACTTCTAGGACTGTATCTACTGCTTTGCCCATTAATCCAAATTATAGACTTCTTTGAAAAAATTGAAAGTGAAAAGCATGGAAACTAACTTCTCTGTAACACTGCTTTAGAATTTGGATATATTGTTTATTTTATAAATTTTATAAATTAATATGCAAAGGTAAAAGGAAATACTGGAATTGAAGAAGTGCTGTCATATTGGTATTTCTGTAACATCAACACGGAAACTTTGAAAATGCCTAACATTTTTTTGTATATCATATAATTTTCTAATCTTGGTATAGTGAAAAAATAATTTGAAGTAGTTCTAAGCCTGTGCATGTAACGAGATGGGGATGAAACCATACTGCACTTTTTATCAGTAATTTCCCTAAAACATGTTTTATTATAATTGGTTCATTTTTACTTAAATAAATTGCACAGTGTCAGAATTAGTGTGCTCACTAATAGGTCAGAAGAGGTCCAAACCATACACAAGCCAACTGAAAAGAAAAATCTTATCTAGGAACAGAACTTACATAATTAAAAAGAAACACTTGGCCAATGACTTTCCTATATGTGTAGGAATAATTGTCTATAATAAGTGTTCTGCAGCACTGTAAATTCATAACTAGAGTGTTGATGTTGGTTCTAAAATTCAAATAACGTTGTAATGTCAGAATTCAATTAGCTACTTAGCCTACTTTTGGTATTCTTGTCTTTCTAGAAGATTTGTTGGGATAGGCAATTTTCTTTATGACTCTCATACCTTTTTCTTTCTATCTTTTTCTGTATCCAAAATAGGAGAGAAGCCTCAAAACTTACCAAACTTCTACTTTGCTTCCCTTGATGTGTGATAGAAAACTCAAAATCTGCAAATACTTAAAAGCGTTTCATGTGAATTTCTGCACATACCATGAACATATTTGGGGGACTATAGTAAGATGAAGAAATATTGAAAACTATCTGGTGTCAGATACACTAAAAAATAAAGATACAGATAAAGTAAAAGGCCTGTTCATTAAGCAACAAAAAAAAAGGTATACAATTCTACAGACACAAGAATATAATGTATAACACAATGGAATTCACTTTCACTGCTATGGGAAAGTGTAATTTATAACTGAATAAAAGAGATACTATTGGAAGGTTCATTTCTGGTTACACTGCCAAATCAGCAGTGTTCTCTATTCACTAAAAAAGCTCTTGCCTCAGACTCCAAGAGATCAATAATACATTGTGTTTTCCTTAGTATACAGGTTGTAGTTAAAGTCAGCAACTGTGAGTGCTACTCTTTAAAAAATCCTAACGCAGGTATCTTCATCCAAACATCACAGCATTTTAACATCAGCAAATCCTAATGAGTGCTGCATGGAAAAAGTGTTTTAAGCTTATTGTAAGTCTGTTCTTGGTCAGTATCCTAATTAAAATGTTTGCTTTGATCACATTAAAACATAGACAGTAAAGAGTGATGGTTCAAAGGACTAATACACAATACAATATTATGAGAAATGTAAATGAAAAATTAATGGGTTTTTTTGAGAAAGTCAGAGTTTCATTATAATTAACAGCACTAAAGATAAATGATGTATAGTTAATTACACAAAGGAAAAAGGACAATGTGTAATTTATATCCTTTGTTTCCTGTATTTCCTGTTTGTTTGGGTTTTTGGGGTTTTTTTGTTAGTAACAGAAATATTATCCCTTTATTTAAGAAAATAATAAAAATAGAACAGATGTTTTTCTGTTCACAGGGCAGATCACATTCTGGCTCAAGAATGGTAATATATGGAATTCCTTGCTTCTACAAAAACATGCTCCCTAGAAATCTGAGGATGAAGGTATTCAAACTGTGGCTCCCTTTCTTTATCTTACCTGGTGCAATCATCCTGTTTAATACTTCAAAGCTTATTATACAAAGTGGCATCAGTTTCAGAAGGAAAAATGTAAAAGTAAAACTCTATGTTTATTTATATTTATATTTTTGCCATCCTTTATTGCATTTAGTATGTTTGCATACATCTGAAAAAGCACAATGGTTAAGATTTTATTTTGAATCCAGAATAATAGACAAAGTTACAAGAAATTAATCTGTGTGTAGGTGAATGAGCACTGTTCTCACAAAGTTGTAAGAAATTCTGCAAAAATTCAAACTAAAAGCTGGTGCAGGGACACTGTGGAGGAAATGCCACCCATCCTTTTTAGCTGTTTGGTTCCCCAACAGTTTCCTGTGACTTGTGGAGTTCAAGGCTGGCAGGAGGCAAAGCTGTGAGAGAAAACACACTCATTTTGTCTCTGGTCTTGTCACATCTCTTCCTGCCTGCCTCCTTTTTGGATTCAGCTGTAGTCTGACATGACTTATAAAAGCACCAGAAATGGGAAGCCAGACCTTCTAAGCTCCTTGAAGGAGGAATTGGCTGCCTGATGTGCACACAGGTGTGCGTGAGGATGCACAAGTGTTTGCAGGAGTCTGGAGAGTGCCTGCACAGACATAAGCATATAAATCCATGTGCTGCTGGGGTTTTCTGGGAACAGCCTCGGTAAAACCCCAAATCTGTACCATGCAAGAGCAGAAATGAGGGAAGGCGCCTCAGTTCACTTTTGCTGTGCTAATTAATTGGCCTTTCCCACTGATGTGTGAAAAATTTTTGACTGCTCCAAATGACTCGTCTTCACCTGGAGGCCTTTACACAGGATATCCTGCATTAATATTTCATGGCAGTCTGGCTGGGAAGCAGCTTACTACTCAACCAGGAACTGCAAAAGAATTAAAGCCAGAATTCTCACTCCTTACCCCAAAAGCAAACTTTGGTAGGTAGTTAGTGCTACTTTCTTTTTGGCTATGTTAATTCTAAACCAGAACAGTATTGAGACTCATGGCATCAGAATAATTTGTGTTGGAAGGGATCTTTAAAGGTCATCTAAACACCCAAACTGCAAAAATTTAATTTTCTCTTTTTACTTGACCTTGAACCTTTCACTCTTTACCTGCCCTAATCATTCTTTCACTATTTTTAATTTTTTCTGACACTTTTCTTGTCGACTTTCTCTTTGAATAAAAGTTTTCCTTATAGGATGTTATTAACACAGCTAACTGTAGGAAATATTGCAATGTTGTAGACTCACTGCACTCTTTAAAGATCCTTCCAAATACCCACAAATACATATTTCTGTGTTGGCTTTGCTCATTGAAAAACTTGTCTGAAAATAATCCTTAAATCCTTAAAAAATAATTTTTAAAACATTCTTTATTCTTGCATTACAAAGATAAGTGTTCTCATACAAAGCTCCTCTGAACATCCATTTAGGCACCTCAGCAGGAACTTTGGTATTCTCTGGTGCAGACTTTTGTAGCTGCATTACCCACTCACTTCAATGGGATTTTTGAACACTGGGAAGTATTGGGAATTAGCTTTTCTTTTCTTCCCTCTTGCTTGTGGATTTAGACACCTGGTTTGATTCATATTCAGAAATATGGATATAAGTGTATTTCTTTGGGTTGTTTTTTTTTTTGGGGGGGGGGGTTCTTTTTTTTTTCCTTCCCTGCTTTTGTAGAAATCCAGAAATTGAAATGTTCGACAGAACAATAACAATAATAAAAAAAAGACGACAGAGGCCGGGATGCGGAGCGTGGCACTCCCACAGGGCGCCCATCCCAGGTGCCGGCGCACCTGTGAGGGGGGAATTTGAGCAGTCGGCAGATCAGATCAGATCAGATCAGATGAACGCACACACACCCGAGGCGGCTTCCCCAGCTCTGCACAGCTTCTTGGTACCCGGCAGAAAATTAATTCAGGGAAAAAAAAAAAAAAAAAAAAAAAAGAGTAGATGTTCCAGGGTTCCGGGGATGCCCGGACACGGCCGGCCCACGCTCGCTTGTCCCTTGCATCCCCTGGCCGTAACTTCCCGGAGCAGCGGCAGTGCAGCGCCGCCCCGGGCAGGTCCCGTTGTCCCGGGAGCCGCCGCCGCCCGCGGGCGGGGCCCGCACCCCTGGGAGCGGCGGCCGCGGCCCTTCCCGAGCCGGGCTGCGCTCCGCCCGTGCCTTGTCCGCGAACCCCCTCTAGCGCCGAGCCCGCACTCGGCCCGGAGCTGCCGGCAGCGCCGAGCGTGGGGGCGCTTCCCGCGCCCGCCTCACGCTCCGCTCCGCACCGCGCCCCGCGCTGCCCTCGGGCGGGCGGCTGAGGAGGGGCCGCCGCTCCGACGCTCTTCGTCCATCCCTCCCTCCCTCTCTCCCTCCCCCGCTGCCCCCGGGCGCGCCGGGCCGCCCGCTGGCTCCGGGGCGCGAGTGCCGGAGCGCCCCCGGCGCGGGGCCGCGCTGGCTCCCGGCGGACCCGGCACCGCCGGGCTGCGCGCAGCGGGGCGGCCCCGCGGCCGCGCCGGAGGAGGGGGCGAGCGAGCGCTCCGCGGGCGGCAGGGGAGCGGCGGCACCAAAAAACTGCAGCCGGCAGCGCGGCACGCAAATCAGGAGGGAGCAGCGAGCATCACACCAGAGCCGCCTGGTTTCTGATTGCTCCGCGGCAGAGGGGGAGAGACAGAGACTGACTGAGAGGGGCGAGCGGCACAGCCGGGCACGGTGGCGGAGGGTCGGGGATGCCGCCCTGCAAGTTTCCTTGATGCATTCGGGAGCGTGAGGAGGAGTCGCCGACCCTTCTCGCCCTCGTCGCGCTCCACCTGGGGAACCTGAAGCCCCTCGGCGCTGCCTCCGGCCGGGCATGCGGGGCACCGTGCGGCGCGGCCGCGGGAGGAGGCTGCTGCCGCGCAGGAGGCTGCCGCGGCTGCCAGGAGCGCCCCTGAGGGGCTGAAGGCGCCACCGGCCCGAGCCGGCGGAGGGAGCGGGGCGCGACCCCCGCCGCCGCCGCCACCGCCTGGAAGTTGCCGGAGCTCTCCCCGTCCCCGGCGCCGCCGCCCCTCGCGGCAGGGCGGCTGCGGGGGTCCCGGCGCCCCCGCCCGCCCTCGCCCTCCGTGCTGCCGCCGTGCCCCGGGACCCCGGCGGTGGATGAGCCCGGCCCGGCCCGCGCAGCCCCGGGCGGCAGTGCAGGCAGCGCAGCCCGGCGGGGCGGCGGCGGTCCCCGCCGGCCTGAGGGAGTGCGGGCAGCCTCGGCGGGCCGAGGTCGCGGGGCGCTCGGCGGGCACCAGCCATGGGGTGTAGTGAGGTGAGGGCACTGCTCTGGAGAGTCGGCCTCTTCCTCCCCCTGCTGACAGCGCGCCCCGCCGCCGCCGGGCACGTCGCCAGCAACCACGGTGAGTGCGGGCGGCCGCGGGTGCGCTGCGGGAAGGGCTGCCCGCAACTTTCCGGCGGCCGAGGGCTGGGAGAGGATGGATGGAGGGAGCGGTCCGCACCTGCGGCCGCCGGCTCGGCACCTCCCGGCCGCGCACGGCAGCCGCGGGGATGCAGGACCGGGCGCCTCCCGGCGGCCACCCCTTCCTGCCGCCCCCAAAAGTTGGGGGTTTGCGGCCGGAGGAGCAGCGGGGCTCCGCTGCCGTCCCCCGCCGGGAGAGCTCCGCGGCTGCCGGGAGCTCTGCGCTGTCGCCCCGGGCACCTGCGGCCGCTGGGGTGTGGGAGTGAGAGGAGGGAAGCGAAAGTTGCCTCCCGGCAAGGTGGAGCGGTAGCATCATTTTATTTGAAGTCTGGGTTTAAGGTTTGCTTCGGTCCTGCCGAACGCAGATGCTATAGAATGGGTTTGAGAGGGCTCATCGCGCCTTAGGGGGAATTGCTGTTGGTGAGCGAGCTGATCAAAGGTGCTTGGCTGCCCTTAACACCTAAAATCTGCATACTCCGGGTTGATTGTCTGAAAAAAAAAAAAAATTCAAAATCTTTGTAACAGGTGCATGCTCATCAGGTCGCACCGAAGACGATGTTTTAATTCTTCGGGTTGTGAGGTGTGTGTTTTAGAAAATTACCTCTGGATTAAGTAGGGAATCATCCTGTTCATAGGAATAAAAATGCATAGCACGCCCAGAGGATACAGTACTTTGTTAGGAAGAACTTAAAAAAGAACCCAGACCTGATTATGAAACATCATGTTACATGTTACCAAGCATCTGGCTAGAGCAGAGAATTTCCTGAACTCCTTGTTTTATGTACATCTGTCTATTTAAGTTGCAGTGGATGCATCTATTCCCACAGCATGAGAGGCTTCTGTACCTTTAACATTATTTTTCTACCGTTTGGCTTTTTTGAGGTTTTAGTGTGATGTGACTGAAAATACAGGAACTGAAGGGTAGCTCTCAATGTTGCTGCTGACAGAAATTGCTTTACCTGCTATGTTGAAAGGAGCATTGAAATTGACAATGGTGGAAAGTAACGGTGAAAGAAAACAAGCTGGGTTTAGTCGTGGAGTACTATGAAGTATATATTTCATGTGTTTTCACAGTTTTGTTCTGTAGTCCGTTTTCAGTGCTCTTTGTATCGATCTCAGTAACAGTAAAATCAGAGAATAAAATCTCTAGAAAACAGGGAAGAACTATAGTACGGCCACAAAGCCCCTGTGCCATCAGGATGAGTTATGGCAAGGACATTCCAAGTTAGTAGGATTCCTTTACTTCTCCTATGCTAAATGCGATGACTAATTCCTGTCTGTAATTGTAGAGCCTACAATCCCATCAAGGCTGATTTTTGCCCTTTCTTATGTCTTGGAAGACATCAGACTCTCACAGTGGCACAACCCAGTTTTCCTTTGATGTCACAGGCATTAGTGCATTCTAATGTCTGCTGCATTATCACAAGGCCTAACACCACACATGAATGTGACTTTTAAAAAAAGAAATTCTTGGTCTTGTAGAATAGCTAAGGGAGCATAAAAGCATCAAAGGCTTTTTATCAATAATGCCACTTAGTTTAGGTTTCTAAACTAGTATTTGATATTCTGGGATTAAATTAGTAGTGTTTAAATAGTGTTTTTATAGTGTTTTTAAAGGATGGGAATGACAGTTGCCAAAAGTCTGTGAGGCTTGAAGTGGTTTCTTGATGTAACTTTTTCTCAGAAGTCCAGGTGTTGTGGTGTTGGCTGCAGAGAGTACTGGTGAATTTCCTAACTTCTGAGTAACTTCTTTTTCTGCACTTTGCTTCCAAACTTCAGTAAAATCAGTAGCCTCTTACCTTTGGTACTGTCATATCACTGTAGAAATCAAATAATGAATGTAACTCAACAAAACCCAAGTGAACTGAAAATGGACTGAATTAATACAGGTGCTTTCATACAACCCCCCCCCCCACCACCTTGTTAATAAAATGCTAGCAAAAAGGATCTGCTTTTAATGATAGCTTCCTCTAAATCCAGGAACTGAAGGAAGGGAAATTACTACGATAAAAATGTTGCCCATTGTGTAAACACTTAAATGTGGAAGGTTAAAATGCTGGTTACTAATACTTGGAATCTCAGCTGCAAAGAATTTATTAAGATCTTGTGAGAAAACATGACTTCTTTAAACTTTCCTGAAGTGGTATTTTCAGCATGCATGTCTTGAAAACATCTTTGCAAGAATTGCTGTTGCATTTTCACCTATTTTGTGTATAGAAACATACCAGCATTAATAGTAGATTGCAAAGGAATGTCTTGTTTTGTTTCTTGATAGTTTGGGTGAAAAGGATGGAAGGGAAATAGGTTTATTAATCTGACTTGGTAAACAGACAGCCCTTCCACTTCATTCTTAGTGGTTTGTTTCCTGTTATTTAGGAGGGATTTTCAGAAAAATAATATACTCTGGTCTTATAAATTGTTAGTATAACCATGTTTGGATTAATCTTTTTTGGTCTTGTCAAACAGAAAGAAATATTTTTTTTTTATATATATAGCTGTAAGGCTCTTAGCTTGTCATTCTTCACCCAGTAAATCAATGTGTGGTGTCTTAGAGAATTTGCAGTGAGGCAGGCACAAACAATATTATTGGCAGAGAAGTGAACTTACTCATTCATCTTCATGGAGTGGTCAGTTCAAAAACATATTATGGCCATGCCAAGGGCTAATTTTTACTGCTCAGAAAAACCCTGTACGGTTTGGAATGGCACAGGAGGAGTAACCACTGCAGTGTGTGGCAGAACTGCTTGGAACAGAGGGCTCAATTAATGTTGGAGGTTGAGTGCTTGCATGTTCATACACATTTGCAGAGGTTGTCCCTCACATCCAGTATGAACAGGCTGCTGTGCAAGAAGTTTCAGCATGCTGTGGTGTAGCTTTGTTCTTCGCTTGCCAGAACACCTCAAATTGGGCAATTGCTGTCAGACCTAAAATTACAGATCATGGCACCTGATCTGTGCAGCTCCTTGTGCAAAACTTGTGGGAGCTTTCAAGATAAAGGTCACACCAGGTAATGGCTCAACAGTTTCCTGTGCTAAGCATGCACACATAAATTTTCTACATATATAAAAATCAGAAACCATATTTGTTTCTACGTATATGTCAACCAGAAACAGTTTCTGTACCCTGGCTCCTTTCAGGTTGTATCTGCCATTATGTATCACCAGACAATTAATTCCTGAAGCCAATTATAGAACTTGCAGAGTTTATAATGAGTCATGTCTATCAGTGAGGTGTAAAGAAGCTGTTGCTTTTTCAGTTTCCAGGTATCATTACTTCTTGTCAGGTTATGCAAGCATGGTCTTTTTATTCATACCTCTAAAAGGCACCTGCACTCATTTTTCTCCTCTTACAAAAAAGAAGTTGAAGTAAGAAATATTGTCAAATGTCAGTTCTGAAATTCATACAGCCTTTATTTTCACAATGATTACACTTGATGTAAATTGGGTGGCTCAAAGTAGGTAATAAAGCTTTTTGATTCTGGTAGCAAAATATCAGGTAGATTACTAATGACCTTGAGGTATTCATCAGTTCAAAGAAGTTGGCTCATTTTCATTCGCATATTTATTTTTACAGAAGTGCAGTCTAGGCAATCTTTCTGAATACAGAATTCAGATTTTTTTTTTTTTTTTTTTTCTGTAGCAATAAGGAGACCAAGGACTAAGTGTGGAGAGATTGAAATTCTCTCTGAATGAAGCTGATGTTTTACTGCTAGGAAATATCTCTTACTTTGAGGACTTGAAATAATGTAGAAAGGCTGTGCTGCTGCCTGTGTTGTGCTAGTCCTGGGGAATTCTGATGTTCAGTTGTCCAGCTGATACTTGAATAAGCATTTACATCATTACAGAAACATGAGAAAGTTAAATAAACAAAGCCATTGAAGTAAATATGTCATTCCCTTTTCAGCATATAGATAAAATCATGAGCAAGATAATATTTTAGTTTCAAGTTCTTAAGAAAGTTTTATCAGTATTTTTACCCATGTGTAAAATCCCACATCCATATGGACTTGTGTGCTAATGAAGGCATGGGAACCTCTGCAGTTGTAGATATGCATAAATGACTTGTTATCCCAGAGCCTCCATTTGTATGCCATGAAATTAACAGATCTGCAATTAATGGTTCAGGACACATTCCTGGTGTTGTATATGACAGTACGGATATTTTGTTAATTTTTTTTTTTTTTGACAAATGAAATGATTGGTATGGAAATACTAAATATTAAGAATTGCATAGCTTAAGCAGAAACAGTTTAAAACCAAATTGGTACAGCAGTTTTCATGTAATTTGCAGGAGTGAAAATACCACAGAGGAACTGAAGTGTTTCCTGAAATTTACCAATTTAACTCTCTGGTCAGATTTAATTTCCTCTGAGAAGTCAAAAAGTTTACTGAGAAGAAAGAGAGAAGGAAGAAGCATATAGGAAATTGAGTTTTTCTTCTTAAAATCTCTTCTGTCTTTGCCAATAGATACTTTTAGATCTTAACTCTACTTGAGGGTTGTTTAGGGTATCTGGTGTTAAAATTTTCACTTGAGAATTTTAGAAAAGTCAAAAAGTTCAGCAAGTTGTTTGTCAGTAAGATACACAGTAAGTCAATATCCATTTTGTTGGCTCTTTTTTTTTTTAATGAGAAGTTTAATGTTTAAAAATCTCATTTAACTGATGAGGGCTATTGCAAAAATTATGCATGTGTACAATATGGGAAGCGTTTTATTGTTCCCTATATCCCAGTATAGCATAGCTGGGTTGGGATATATTCCTATTCCAGCTGTGTGTGTTAGCTGGAATGTTTCATTAAGATCCTTGGATTTCCCCAATGTGATGCAGACACAAAGATGAGGCTGGCCTTGTGTTTGATATGCCCCTTAACATACTGAACTCTGTGACAGAGAGAATGATAAAATGGATGAATTATTTATCCATAATCTATCCAGACCCCCAGA